CGCCAGCCCTTAGCGCAGGCTGCGGGGTTTCTGCAAGTCATCTGAGCCAGCCAAAACGCGCGCCCCGCGCTCCCCCTGCCCCGCTCTCCCGGAGCCCGCTCGGATTTATTCGGGGGGTTTTGTTGTGGGTTTGGTTGGTTTTTTTTTTTTTCCTTCTCCCCCATCGTGCTGTATGTATTGGTTTCTCTCGTCACCTGCCACGGTTAACTTTCCTGTGACTCGGTTTAACTCTTGAGATCTACGTGGATGTTGCTAAGAGCACTTTTCTTGCCTTTGCTGTCCCTTGCCGGGATCGGATTTCATACTAACTGGACTCTGTGTGCCTGTATGTGTGTTCTGAGTGTCTTGAAATTTTGCTTTCCTTTACAAGAGCTATGCATTAATTGTAACCAAGGTAAGACTCGCTGTTCTTGTTCCCTCCTGTGCATGTCTAAATTAGATGTTTCTTTAAAGATGAAGTATGTATTTTCTTTTAAACGGTGGAGTCATACGTAGTCCTTCCATTGATTAGTACTTGTGAAAAAGAAGCATAGAACTTGCAAAAAAAATAGACCTATTTAGCAGGAGATCTAGCTTGGCTTTCTAAACTGATCTGCTTTTCTCTGCTGCAGCTTCTGTGAGGCTTAAAAGAATCATTTGTGTCTTATTTTGTTTTCCCTTTTGACAGACCTGTGAATGGCCATAGGCTTGGCTTGACCTTGATTTTGCTGGCTTTGTTGGAAGATCTAATGATGTGATTGCATTTCATGAAGTGATTGCTCTCCAGCCTCTATGGCTTAGGGAATAAGCCACTTCTGCCACACTGTCACTCATGGACAATTCAGATGTTTTTTTTAAACAAACCTTTTGGCTATTTTTCTTTTCTCACTTCCCCTTTTCCCCCTGTTTTTCCTTAATGTTGGGAGCCTTATTCTACACTTTGATGTGACTGATAGTCCTGCTGCTTCGTGCTGCTGATTTCTGTTTTAAAGTACAATGGCTCTAAGTGGCAACTGCAGGACTTACCTTCCTCCTCGAGAGCAGGGGACTGGGCTGCACTCCTTCCCAGAGGTAGTGGAGCTAAATGTGGGTGGCCAGGTTTACTTCACTCGCCACTCCACCTTGGTTGGCACCCCTCACTCCCTGCTGTGGAAAATGTTCACCCCAAAGAGAGACACAGCCAACGATCTGGCCAAGGACTCCAAGGGAAGATTCTTCATCGACAGAGATGGTTTCCTTTTCCGCTATATTCTGGACTATCTCAGGGACAAGCAAGTAGTTCTGCCTGACCACTTCCCAGAGAAGGGAAGGCTCAAGAGGGAAGCTGAGTACTTCCAGCTCCCGGACTTGGTCAAACTCCTGACTCCCGATGACAAGCAAAGCCCTGATGATTATTGCCACAGTGACTACGAAGAGGTCTCCCAAGGCAGTGACACGAGAATATGTCCACCCTCGTCGCTCTTACCGCCTGATCGGAAGTGGGGATTCATTACCATCGGGTACCGGGGGTCGTGCACTATTGGCAGGGAGAGCCAAGCAGATGCCAAATTCAGGAGGGTCCCAAGGATTTTGGTTTGTGGAAGGATTGCTCTGGTGAAAGAGGTCTTTGGAGAAAGTTTGAATGAAAGCAGAGACCCAGACAGGGCTCCAGAAAGGTACACCTCCAGGTTTTATCTCAAGTTCAAGCACCTGGAGAGGGCTTTCGACATGTTGTCCGAGTGTGGATTCCACATGGTGGCCTGTAACTCCTCGGTGACGGCTTCCTTTGTCAACCAGTACACAGACGACAAGGTCTGGTCCAGCTACACTGAATATGTCTTCTACCGTAAGTACAAGACATTTCTGAGGGAAATGTAACTACCTGTTTTAAGCCGCTCTTTTCTGCTGACTGTACGATTCTCAATGCACAGAGTGCAAATTTCCTGCTGCGGACTGAGGTTTTATTTAGATCTGGGGGGGATACGCTTCAGTTTAAGCTTTCAAAATGTAAAGCAAGGCTGAACTCAGTGGCTTGGTCTTGGCTAGGTGGCAGCACAGACTGCCAAAAGCACCCCATCCCCGTGGCTGAAGGATGCTGCTGTCTCTGGCTGTGTAAATCAGCCGTCTGACTGCTTTGCACGCTTCCCAGGTATGTGTGGGATGCAATATAAGCCTTGCAAACACACTGCAGATTTAATTACAGAAAATCTTCAAATGGGATTCAATTTACAAAGGTAATAGCTGCTTGATAATAGTCAAGCACAGTCAGCCAAGCCATCTGTCAACAAACCTGACACACTTACACACAGGGAAGGGAAAACAAAATCCCATCCCCCTGGCTGCTTTTCAACAGGGGGCCTTCTCGGAGCCAGCTGATGTGCTCTGAAATGAGGGCTCAGAGCAAGGAGAGGCAAGTTGCTGCGCCTTGTTATGCAACATGCCGATGAAAAACAAACTATCCTCATAATGAGAAGTATCTGCCCTGCTTACCACAATCACATCGGATCACATACTGTTGTGGTAATTTTAGCTGAGAGCTCTAGCAGGCTCATTAACTTTCTAAGTTGATATTCAGGTAGAGGCACCGTTACCAATGGTAACATGAGGGTAATTTTGATTCTATAATTCTGTATCAGAAAATCATTCCACAACTGCTGTGCTTAAACATTTGAGAGGTTCACGAGGCTGTTTTCCTCCATTTTCATTTCAAGAGGGTGAAGGATGGAACATTTCCCCGGTCCATTTGTAGAAATGGGCTTTAGCCAGCTGCTGCTTTGGGCAGTGGGGTTTAGAGGAGAATGCTTTGCCGGCAGACCTGCTGTGCTGTGTGCGGTGCTTACAGTTACCAGGCTCGGTAACGTGGGAGCTGACAAAAGTTTTAGATGAAAGATGTATCAGGAAGCGAATAGTTTGTGTGTAATACTGGATGCCCTCTACTTTTGTGTTGGGGCTCAACAGGCAGCCCTAATCTGCTTATGTAATGATGCTTAAGTTAGCATCCTGAAAAGCCATCTGTATTTTTGATATGCGTAGATTTACTTAAAATTAGTTTTCTAGCTGGATTTCTTAGCAAAATGGTTCTAAGGTCATGGATCCGCTTATATTCTGACGGGGATGGATGATTTCTATTATTAGGCTTCTTCTGTTTGAAATCATAGTGTCTTGTACAAGTTATAGGAGGAGAATTAATTTAGTTAAAGGAATGGATTAGAATAAATTGTGTTTGCATTTATATTTAAAATCAGAAAAAAAAAGTAAGTTCCTTATAGGCACAATGGTTTGCTAATTGAAGACAGGATGAAGATAGATTTTGCATGAATTAGCAAACACAGACTCCTGATTTTCATATTACTCAAATTTTTCCCTTCAAGGATCGCTCATTGCTTTCACATTACTACAGCTGGGGTTAGGTACCGAGATGAAAGGAACCTTAGAAATTTTGGAGGGTGAAAATCTATAGTAGGTGTCACAAAATCTTCTCTCACCAGTGCAGGGAAAGCCCAATCCAATTAAAGTTCCTGGAAAGACTCTTATCCAGTTCAACAGGCTTTGCATTTGGCTCATATCAGTTTTGTGCATTTTTGACACTGATACAGTTTCAGAGATGGATTTTTCAAAGGGCCCTTCCCTAGGTAAAACCTAAAGCAACAACCGTGATGCCAAAACACTCTCTTTTATCATTCGGTTACGTTTTGTGCCATTTGCTGCTTGCTGCGATAGAGCCACTGGTGGGATGCAGACCTTCTCCAGCCACGTGCCTGGGGTCTGGCTGCAGCCAGCCAACCTGAGAGCAGGCACGATACCTACGGAATTCACCCGGAGCCAAAGAAACCCCTTTCCAAATTTCCCGAAGTCATTTCATTTGAAACTTTGAGGACCAATAAAATTGACATCTGGCTTGTAGTGGAACATTACAACTTCTCTGCAGCTGCTTAGCCATAATTATTTAATTAGAAGTTGCCAACTGTGTCTATATAAGCATTAATTCATCAAGCTGTTGTGATCAGGTTAATGGGCCTAAACATGGGAGGTGTCTAATACAACTGGTTAGGCAGATGCAGAGGTGGTCTTTGCAGAGCTGCTTAGTAGCTCCTGTGAAATGCACAGTTGGAGGGACTCTTCAGAGCTGGGAAAGGTTGATTATTTCCAAAGGAGGAAGAATAGAGGGAGGAATATTTTTTTGATACACCAAATACATTGTATGCTCCAAATATTACTCAGAAGGTAAATGCCTGTGGTTGGCACGAAGATAAAGGACATTCTTCATGTGCAAATCCTTTTGAAAGTAGATCAGATGGACCGAAGGGGGTGTAAACTGTGCAGCTACTCACATGGGTACAGTGTGTGCTGTTAACAGAATTGCACGATTAATATTGTATGACGTTTTCTCCCCTTGTTCAAATTTAGGTGCTATTAAGGCTAATGGGAGATTCATGTTCTCAGGAGGAGGTTTTCCCAAAATGCAGGGCATGCAGAAAGCGTCCTCTACAGTAAACCTGCAGCTGTTTTTCTGAGCGGGTGGCAAGATGGGCTGCAAAGCCAGCACTCGGGGTGACAGTGCAATCCTCAGAGCGCAGCTGGGCTCCACTCCAGTCTCAAATAGGCTGATGCAAAGGAGGGTTTGGAGACAGGCTGTGTTGGTACATTAGAGCCATAATTAAACAGTTCTTTGAAATGCAGTTCCTGCGTGGTGGGTAGGCAGGAGTAACAGCCTGCCTCCTGCTCACAGGTGGAGTATGAGTTGAGGAAAGCAGGTGAGGTTCTGCTCAGGCATTTTCTTTCCCTCCAGTTTCTCTTATGTCAAAGATGTTTACTTAAATTTTAGACTGGCTAAGGTTGGATTTCTAACTTGAACTGTTTTGTGGTCCCCTCCTCCTGTTGTTTTGATGATCTTGAAGTGAAACCTCATCTCCAAACACTTTCATTTTTTAAGAGGATGATAGCCTGTGCTTGGATCTTCATTTTTAAATGTTTTCAACCTTTACAATGGGATGAATCAAAAATGTGCACTTGAACATCTGGTAAATGTTGTGGTGGGGGTGAAGGGTGTTAAAGCATATGGGCTGGCTCAGCCTTTTGTAGCCTGGCCCCATTCCTGACTTCACAGTGGCAGCAGCACACTCTTTTTCGTCACCTCCCATAACCTACAAACCAGCCCTTTCTGCCTGCTTCCAGTCTTGCAGCATTGCCAGGACTGTGGGTGACAGTCCTGCACGTGGATGTTGCGATTGCCAGAAGAGCAAAATAACAGGTTGGAAATGGAGAAGGCTTTAGCTTCAGACAGCAGGTCAGCAACATGGCAAGCTGTGTGCATGTGTCTGCAGAGCAGCTAGGAACCGAGTGACATGGCAGTGGGATGGGATGGCATGGGATGCGATGGGATGGGGAGAAACTGCATGGCAGCCCCTGTCTGCATATTGTGATTGCCTCCCAAAAGCCTGATGTCACATCCCTTCTCTCTCTGCTTGTCAGTGGCTGAGACTGCAATAGGCTCTCAAAACAGTTCACAGTACAGAGGGGAGATCTTGACTCCAATATATCATGTCAGACCACTTGCTTTTACTCTTGTGACTCCCTGCACAGCTGTGGGTAGCACCTATAAGGAGCGCAGCTGGCACCACAATGAGCAGGTTGCCCTCAGCTCAGCTGGAGCAATAAAGCCAGGGGAGAGGAGAGCTACCAGGCAAAAAGGAACAAATATAGAAGAAGTACAGATGGAGGAAAAGGAGAGAAAATTCACACACAATCTGGAGAGAAAGAAGTAGGGAAAAGATGTGGGTACTGACAACTACACCAAGACAAGGTGAGGGAGAATTTGTTAGGTACGTCAAGTCTTCGGTTTAACCCAAATGTTTTCCTGCAACAAGCAGACGGAGAGGGGTTGACAAATGCTCCTTCAAGTTCACTAGCAGGAAAGAATACAGAGATTTAGACAGACAACTGTCCCTGCCCTTCCTAAAGTTGTGTTTCAAAGTCTGAGCAAGCATGAGAAAATCAGGACGATCAGTCTGATTTGCATAAGCCTTGCCTTCTGCCGGCCACTTCACATCTGCACATGTGGAGCAGCTTAAGCACCTGCAGATGTTCAAAGGAAACTGTTCCTGGCACTGTAGCTCTGAAAGCCAAAAATTAATTAACAATGCTCTTGCTCCTGAAGGACATGTGCTGCCTCCACTCGCTCTAGGGACAGTTGTAAATTTTGGCCTTCTCGCCTTACTCTTTCAAGAAGATGCTGGCTGGGTGTGCCTTTCACTTGCTGGTAGGAGGCTGATGTGTAGAGATGTTTGTTAAGTAGGTTTCAGATTATCCTGGGATAAACAGATGAATCCTCTGTGGTGGGGCTGTGCAGGAGGGAAGAGAAATGCCAAGTGATATCCTCTGCAAATACGCTCTCATGGCCCTTCACTGGACATGTATGTCTGGGATAATCCTGGTGTCATTTATACAAGATGATCCACTTGGGATTAATGCAGCCAGCTGTGGCCTGTCACTTTGTATGCGTGAACAGACCTAAAAGATCCCATACTGATGTACATACCACTGACACATAAATGAATTGTGTGGTAGAAATTTGACTAACAAAACTGAATGTTCTTGCACAGTGACACCTACAGCTGTGCTGTCAATCGAGTTAGATGTGGAAGAGGAATATCACCTATTTTCCTCTCTCTTTAAACTGATACTGTTCTATGTTCTAGTAGTTGGTTCTGTCTGGTTTTAAATCAGTGAAGATCAAAATAACCCAAAAGATAACAAAATAAAGTCTAATCCAATGAATAATACAGGCTTCCTTTCCTGTTGACAGGAGATGTTTCTGTTTCCAGGTAATTATTGTCATCATCAGCA